TTTATTGAGAGAATAAACTGTGAAGCTACATGTCTTTTTAGTTCCTATAACAACCATTAGTAGTTTCACATACTCGGTTGTTTTTAGTTAATTAAAAAAGTAAAATCAACCCTTTTTTCTTCTTACAACAGTTTTTCATTCAAAAACCAATCCATCCATGGCTGTCGATGTTTACTCTGTTTCCGAAGGTTGCTCTCGTCTTTCGATCCTTCTTTTTCTTTGAGATACCACCTGTAAAAATACATTTTATCTTTTTATTGTTGCATGGATTCCTCCATTAAATGATGAATATATACGTGCAATTGCTTAATTGTTTAGTAATTTATCTCCAATGAAAATGATTTAAGAAACTACAAGTGTATCGTTTTCCACTTTGGCCACAAACTGGTGGCCGGGCGACCCCTTCATTTTGGCCGAAGTGACCAATTAGACCCAACAAAAATAATTTTATTCCATCAAAAAACACGAAAATAAGTTAAAGGGACCGAATGGACAAATGTACAAAATATTGTAGGGATAATATGTCATTCACCCATAATAATAAGACAAACTTTCATAAATGGACCTAATCTTTTTCCATTTTCCCCTAAAATAGCTCTTATGAAACCTTTTTTATATGCATGGTCCCTGCAGAGCAAAACCTTACACACAAATAGTCTTTATGACTAATTTTGTTAACATATTATGTTAATTGTTTGTGAAATAATAAAAATATCCCTTGTTTTTATTTTTTATTTTTTTTATAAAAAATGAAATATACTCACACACATTCAAGAACTCCTACTTATTGCCACCACCCACCACCACCTACTACAATCATTTTTCGAATCACCATCACCTTCACCCACCTGCCACCACACCACTTTCCACCAAAACAATAAACGATTACCTATAATAATCATCATTAACCACCATCACAAATCCTTGAAAAAAATCGAGACTCAAAAAATCAAAACAAAAATACACTCACTACAAATAAAACGACATTTAATAGTACAAAAAAAAGTCACTAAAAAACAAAAAACTGACACTAGGGGACCCTCGGCAATTAGTGATACAAAAAATGTATAACTAAAAACGTTGTCACTAAAGGCTTTTAGTGGTACTTTTTGGTTGTATAGCTACAATCCTTTTGGGTTTTAGTGACATTTTTTATGCCACTATAAAACTTTTGGTTTTTGTGGTATTTATTTTTAATACTGTATATTTGCTAAAATAAAATATTTTTTCTTTTTCAGTGGTATTTTTATTTACCACAGAGTATTTATATTTGAAAATTATGTCAGTTTTTTTTTTTATAATTTAAATGCATATAAAATAATAGAAAAAAATTAAGATATTAAATGGAAAGCACAAAAGTATTATTTTAACTGAAACTTAACCTGTCTTAAAACAATATTCTCAACATTTAAAATAAAATTATATTCCAAAAGGATTAATCAGTCTAAACTTAACTTGTTTTACAATAATATTCTCAACATTTAAAACAAAAAGTATCATCCAAGAGGCTTTTTCGATGATGATTTTGATTTTGTAGAGGTTAGTTGATAGGAACCATAGAAAGTTAACATAGGCCTAAAAAAAATAGTCAGTACATCTAGGTGCAAGTAATATTCAACTTCAAAACATATCTCTCTTACTTTTATGGTCAAAAGAGTAATCTTCAGCTTCAAAATATATGAATTATGTGAAAATTTAAATATAATGTCTACTGATTCATACTAGATGAAACCGAGTGATCGTAGTGTTTATATCGCTGCTCCTTTTCTGTTGTGATTGTTCTACAACAAAAAAAGATATAAATTCACTTATTATGGTATAAGGTATAACCAACTGATTTTGGTAAGAATTTGAAGATTACCAAATTGTTTTTTAAAAAGTAGACATAAATGGGATTATAAAACTGAGGGGTGGTTTCGGTTTGTGGAATGGCAATTGGAGGTGGCCATGAAGACGAAGATGACGGGTTACTCGACATACCTTGAGGCAAGGCATGACTTCATTGTTTTGAAAACCCTTATGACGGTGTTGTTATGTGTGACGTTTGCAAAGGCGAATTTAGTCTCACCTCATATATGTCAGTAATGTTATGTTTTCAGGAGAATGGTCCAATGTCAATTTCGTTAATTTGAATGTGCTTCTTAGATGTTTATTTCTTTTTTATAGTTTGAGAGTTAACCTTCTTAAAAGTAAATTTTTTGGAATGGGGGTTGAGGAGTTGGAGATTAATCATCTTGTTAACATTTTACATTGTGAACTTGTGCTTTTTCCTTTTATTTGTAATGGTCTTTCTATTGGTGCAAATATGAAGCTTTCTAAGCATTTGAATCCAATTGAGAAATTTAAGTCTAAATTATCTATTTGGAAGGCAAATAATTTTTCTTTTGGTGGGCGAATTACTCTCATCAAATCCGTTTTGGGGACTCTTCCTTTTCATTTGCGTTCTCTCTTTAAAGCTCCTAAGAAAGTTATTGATTTATTGGTAGGTATTTGTAGAAAGTTCATTTGGGGAGGTAGTGAGGAAAAAATAAAAATTAATTGGGTTGTTTGGGATATAGGTGTTTGGCATTCCTTTTCAAATGATTTTTTTAGACTCACGGGTTTTTTAAAAAGTTAAAAGTTTAAAAAGGTGTTTGATAACTTCAAAATTATTTTAGATTAACTTTTTAAGAAGAAGAAAAAGAATGTATTTAAGAAGTCACGGATCTGTGACTTTTAGGAACTTTTGGTTTTTTTCTCTTTATACCCTCAAAAATTCATATAAACATATTTTAAAAGTTTCTTTTAGAAAACAAGATAAATCAAAAAGTATTTTTCTAAAAATGAATTTTTAGTTTAAAAAGCAATCCAAACACCCCCTAAACCTAAAGGGGTCTTGGAGTGGAAAGCCTTAGATCTTTAAATATGGATCTTCTTGCTAAATGGTGTGACATTTAAAGTTTCAAGGAAATCCCTTTGCTCTTCTAATATTAAACCTTTACATAATCTTATTTGCATCGATTGGAAGTCTTTTAACTAGTGTGGTATATTGGGTACTTGGGTTTCTATTTAACAAATAAATAGAGAGCTCGAAGAATGAGATTTGTCACTCGAGGAGTCCTTTTCAAATTTATGCAAGCTTGAAGATGAAAAAAAAAATGCTTTTCAGATAGGCTAAAGAGTGGTACGGATACAACTTTTCAAGCGTAGTGTAATAGATTTACAAGGAGGGGTAGAGAGGCAAAAGAGCTTGGAAATTTGGTTCATTTTGTAGCTGATATCAAGTTGTCCATGGCAGCAGTTACATGGCTGTGGAAAGGTGATAGTTTGAAGATGCTGACGAATGATAAATCATTTGGACTACCACTTGTCTTTTTTTTTTTTACAAATCGAAAAAGGATAACCAAGTTGTCGATGGGAAAACAAGCTAAGTTCCACGATATATCTCTCAATGCATCGCAAGTCACATCATTTTTCATAACTTTTTATATTTTTTTTCAATAAACTTATGTTATTGACAATTTAATTGTAAAACTTTCACAAAAACTACAACCTACTTTTATTATTATTATTATTATTATTATTATTATTATTATTATTATTATTTTGTAAAAAAAAAATATGTAGAAAATGAATTACTACAATGTTTCGCGCATTAAAATGAATAAGGAAAAAAAGTTATAAATTGGATTTGTAAAAAATGTAAAAAAGGAAAAAATAACGCGTGCGCGCGTGTGTGTGTGTGTGTGTGTGTGTGTATATATATATATATATATATATATATATATATATATAGATAGATAGATAGATAGATAGAGAGAGAGAGAGAGAGAGAGAGGACGGTTCACTTGAGATTTAACTTCAGCCACATATTTTTGATTTTCCATTCTAACGCTCCAGTATACCGACAGCAGCGGAGTATGCCTAATCATAAATGATTATATGGTAAAGAGGTATAATCATATATGATTATACACGCTTATACATATATGTGTAATCATAAATGATTATACATATATGTTTGTTTGAACAGATTGAATAATCATATATGATTACGGTGGTTGTAGATGAGGTTATGGTGGCAGATGTGGAGGTAGTATAAATGACGGAGGTGAAACTAGTGAGGTCGGTTGGTGGCAGATGTGGGTGTAGTGGTGGTGGCGGCGGCGGTCATGGTAGTGGGGAAGGTGGCGGGGAAAAAGGAACTGGCAATGTTGAATAATCATTTATGATTATAACTCTCATGTCGCGTTAGTACGTCGGAGCGCTGAAGCAGCAAATGAGAAACATGTGGTTGATGTTGAATCTTAATATCTCCATTTTTTTAAATTTGAAGGGAACCTACTTTTATATATATATATATATATATATATATATATATATATATATATATATATATATATATATATATATATATATATATATATAAATAAACAGGACATAAGTGAACAAGTGTAAAAAAGTTGTATAAATTCTAAAAAAATAAGTTTATACAAAAGAATATTTGTCGGCTAAATTTAACATTAATATAAGTTTTTATTAAATATTTATAAAAAAAAGTGATTAAATGTGTGCAATCGTAAAACCTTATTATCCTTACAAATTTAATGGTTGTCAGAAAATGAGAAATCTCCGAAAAATTCTCAAGGTTCCGAGTTAGTTTATGATCTAGTCTCAAATTAATTTATGTTTACAAAAAATAGACAAAAATACCGGATAATTTGTTCGAATCGACCCATTTTCACTAGTACAACTATTTTTAGCCAGTCACTTTGCTTATGTGGCCTCGTTTGTATGACTTGGAACTTGATCTTCATTATTCATCCATTCTCCTTCATTTCTAACCCTAGACAAAGTGAGAAGGCGTTAAAAAAACCCTCTCTGTTCATGCAGTTAATCATTTGAAGGAAGTGAAGTTACCGACACCAAAGTAAAGAAATTGCAAACACATCCACATAATCTTCCATTTTCTTGCATTATGTGCTTGATTAATTTGAGTTAATTTTTGTTTAGTGGTGATAATGGATACCATTGAAGACTTTGACATCATAGACGTGGAACTTGATGAGTTATTCCTAAAGAAACAAATGCCTAGATGCAAAAACGAGTTCTTGAACACGCTATGTGAAGAATGTATAGAAGATTGCTCCATCCTTGACATTCAAGTTGATGAAGGCGATGGAGATGAGCCCCTTGATTTGAAACCTGAAGATGAGACAGTTGATGAAGAAGGTACTTTGCAAAAAGGGTTAAGTGAAAAAGAGGACGAAGACGGTGCTGATTTCCAATACAGTATACATGATCCAAAGGTGAAATGGGACAAAATGAGGTCAATTTTAGGAGAGAGGTATGAATCACCACAATAACTTAAACTTTGTTTAACCAACTACTCCATAAAATAGGGTTATCAAATTAGGTTTCAATAATGTGATATTGTTAGGTGTGTAGTTATGTGTGCAAATGAGCAAGTAAAAGTTCGATGTCCCTTTCTGGTTAGGGCTTCCTGGACGAGCACTGAAAGATCATTTCAAATTAAGAAATTTGTTGATAAGCATAAGTGTGTTAGGACTTTTAGTAATGCAAAACTTATGTATCCAAAATGGATAGCTAGACTATTTATGAAAGAGTTGATTAGGAAACCAATTTTGAAGTGTAATGTAACATACATAAAATATGGTCCCAAAAATTTCATTTTTAATTATTAAATAAACCATGGTTATCAAAACCTCTCGTCAAAACATAAGTCAAGTATCCAAAACATCACAATCATGTTTATAAAACAGAATATCCATAACAAAACATCAGAGTAAACACCCCATGCTAAAACATCATGGTGTGTGCAATACAGTCATCCCGAGCTCTTCCCTTTGCTACCAGAAGTATCTGAAACAAAAACTGAAAACTGTAAGCATGCAGCTTAGTGAGTTTCCCTAAACTAGCACATATCATACACATAATAAAATATAAACATATCGTGGGTCCCGCCCCTTCGTCGGGCCCCGCTCGGCATTGAGCAAAGCTTGGTATACATATAAACATATCAACAAATACACATGGAATAATCACATAACATAAGCATATAAACATTCCTCGGGCCCCGTCCGACATCAGACCGTAATCCATAAAGCATAGAAACATTCATCGGGCATCGCCCGACATCATACCGTAATCCGGAAACATACAAATACAGACACATGCAAGAATCATGAAGACATCAAGCATAATAACATTCCTCGGGCACCACCCGACATCATATCGTAATCCGAAAACATATAAACATACATCGGGGATTGCCTGTCATCAGACTTTAGTCTAGAATACATACAGTTATAAATACATACCGACATTGGTGCCTTTGACCCATTCAAACAGGAGGAAAACTCACATTCAATTTCGGATGATAGTTGAAATGTCTCTGCCCTGAAATCGGCTCTACTCACTCCTTGAACTAAAACAACCCCTTAGATACCATTTCATACTCATAACCCTTTAGGGTCAACTATGATCAAAGTCAAAGTCAAGGTCAAAGTCAAAGTCGATGCTCTGAGTTGACTCGACTCGTCGAGTTATCTTTTAACTCGCTAAGTTCCCATAAATCTCAGAATCGTGCCTTTTTGAATATGGAGAAAATCAAGGCTATCAATGCATCTGCTTATGAGCATGTAATGGCAAAGTAACTTGAATTGTGGTGCAAGGCATGCTATCAAGTTGGATTGGCATGTGAGGTTGTTGAAAATGGAATAGCTGAATGCTTTGATGCTATAATAATAGATGCAAGAAAGAAGCCATTGTTGACTATGTTTGAATAGATAAGGCTTTATGTGATGGAAAGGTTCTACAATCTCAAGGAGAGTGCACAAAAATGGGAAACTAAAGTGTGATCTTCATCAATTAAGAATATGGATGTGTTTGGTGAAGACCTCAGGTGTGTTGTCAGTATAATTTATGAACTTTTTCATTATCGTTAGACTAATGTGTTTTCATTTGTTATTGTAGGAGTTGGAATGTACATCCTAGTGGTGTGTATGCTTTTGAAGCGAGAAATGGATTGTAATCTTATAGAGTATGCTTAAAAGGGAATTATTGTAGTTGTAAACTCTTGGAGTTATCAGGGATACCATGTGTACATGCCTAGGCTGCTATTTTATACACACAACAGGATCCAGTGTCCTTTATCAATGATTGGTTTAGTAAGGATAAATTCTTAGCTACCTATTACTCTAACATTCTACTTGTGAATGGCAGTAATATATGAGAGCAAAATCCATATACCAAACCCCTTCCACTTGTGGTGAGAAGGATGCCAGGAAGGCCATGTATTAAAAGAAAGAGGCATGTATCTGAGCATGAAGAAAAGTTCTCCCAAGTCTTATCTAAGGGTAGGAATGTCTAGCATAAGAATTGTCTACAAAAGGGTCATAGTAAAGTCTCTTGCAAGAATCCCATAGTCACCCCTGAACATAAGCCAAATAAGAAAATGGGTAGGCCAAGGTTGGACCCTGAATTAACCCATTTGATTAATGGATGTAGATCACTAAAAAAAAGGGACAAATAGAGGTGGAGGAAGAGGGGAAAGAGGTGGTAGAAGAGGGACAAAAGGTGATAGAGGTGAGAGTTTAACTATGCACCAACCAACTCCTGTTATTGAGACTCAAGAAATGCACCAACAAACACCTGATATTGAGACTCAATAAATGCACAAACAAGGACATGATATTATGACTCAAACTGTGTCCGAAAAACAACATCAGAGTGAAGATTATCAAGATGAAAATAATGGGCTTGAGATTTTTGATATGGATCATGTACTAAATACAATTAATGATTTGAAATGTTCAAACTACACTAATCAACAAATCATCAATACTTTATGTTTAATTGAATCTAAACTTCAGAAATTTTTAGCCTTCAAACCAGTCACAGTGGACTCACAACCAATCAAATGTTTTAACTTTATTTTACATGTCTTTTATAATTTAATGTATAGGATTTATATGTGGAGAGTCAAAATGTTCCCCATAATGATATTCAAGAATCACAAGCAGTTCTTGAAAATCATGGTCAGGAAGATGATGAAGCTAAAGAAGTTGATGCAATCGATGTAGTTGAGGAAGATGAGCAAGTTGAGGAAGATGAAGAAGATGAGGAAGAGGGCGTGGATGACACACAAGTGATAAAAGGGAGACAAGTGTTGAAAATGAGAATAACTTTAGAGAGGACCCCAGAGAACAACTTGAAGAAGGTGGCGGCGGACAAGTGAAGGTGGCGGCGGACAAGTATGGGAGAGACATGACTTCAAACAAGCCACTAAATCAAGATTAGGGTGTTGAATATTCCCTTCTTTTGCTAGGGCTATGCTAATATGTTGGATTTTTGGAAAATATGTATTGGAAGCCCCTTTTGTTAATATAGTCCACTGTGAATTGAAAGCCTCTTTTGTAAACATCTTGGCTGACATAACTATTATTTGTAAAAACTTTGGCTGCTTGAATATATATCAGCCATACTAAGTAAATTATGGCTTGTTATGATGAATTATATGTATATCCCTTGTTTTGGTCAAGTTTTGTCCTGATAAGTTCAAGTCAAGTAATTATCAAATGCTTGCAAAAGATAACATTTTTTCCAAACTGCATTGCAAAACATAATTTTCATTTAAAAGATAACATTCAAACTACCATTACATCTTCTACTTGTCACTGAAATTACATTGGTCAGTTTTCATTTCAAAATATGAAACCCAAAAACACATACAATTACATCGTCATATATCATACAAGTGCAAACAATGAAACCCAAAACATAATCATGAAATTAACACCAACTAAGCCATATTAATGGGCCATAGGAACACCTTGTGCCACAGGTTACTGACACTGCTTCTGCCACATGCTCTTTTGTATTGTCTTCCACAAACTCTTCAAATCCATCATGGTTGAATCCATTTCCATGGTGGTAAAAATCGAACAACATGTCTTTGTACTACTGGTTTGGTAATGGAGGGTCTACCCAAGCAAAGTATTTGCAATACATTTCAGGGTCATGTATTACACAAAATAAGTCCAATTTCAACACAAATATTGTAGGAATCGTGAAAGAATGAAAACTACAAACCCTATTCGTCCAAGATTTTTATCACTCCATGAAGTTCATTTGCAAGATCTTCACATAAGCATTTTGACCTTAAGTCTCTCCTCATTGATCAATTTCATTGCCTACTTCCCACAGAAGATGAAAACACCATTTTTTTCTTTCACGTGAGGTTCTAGGTCTTGAATGAGCATAATATGTGCTTGAATACAACATATTCAGCCACATAAGCAAAACATTTAACAACATGGCATCCACCTAAGCAAGGTGATCAGCTAAAATAGTTATACCGGTGAAAATGGGTTGATTCGAATAAATTATTTAGGATTTTGTATTTTTTCATAAATAAAAATTAATTTGAGATTAGACCGTATTTTTTCGTAAATAAAAATTAATTTGAAACTTGACCGTAAATTGACTAAAAACTTTGAAAATTTTCCCGAGTTTTCCGTTAGAAAAGTTATCAACCAAATAACTTTTAATTATTAAAGAGTATAATGCTATTTTTTTTTATTAACTTTTAAATGAGTTTCATGATAATTATATTAAGAAAAACTATCAAATATAAATAAAAAATGTTAGTCGGTTATCTTTGTCATTTTTCTATTTATGAATAGAAATGAAAAAGGAAAAATAAATTTCTTCGCTCCATAACGTGTGGCCAAAAATGGTGATCCAACACTAGAAGCGAAAGACCTTTCCTTCTCTCCCTCCTCAAAATGCCTTCCACTTTTCTTCCCCAAATCATTCTGATTTCTGAACCATCGCTCAAATGGCTCTCCTGCTCCAACACCCATCTCTCTTCCGCACAACTTCGTTTCTCTCCACATACAAAACCCCTTTGATCACCCTCTCGCAGACCCCAAAATCAATAGCCTCCAGGAAACCCAGAAACTGGGCAGTGAAGTGTACTACTGTGGTAGCGCCCGAAATCGGAAGTGGAAGCAACGAAGATGTTCTTGTTAGTGAGGAGAAAGGAAGAGTTAATGTGGTGGATTATGATTGGACAGAGGAATGGTACCCACTGTATCTAGCTAAGAACATACCAGAAGATGCGCCTTTGGGTTTGACAGTTTTCGATAAACAAGTTGTGTTGTATCGCGATGGTAAAGGCGAGCTTCGGTGTTACGAGGATCGCTGTCCTCATAGGTAATTCAAAAAACTCTACTCTAACTGAATTTGCTCTCATTTGCTTATAGCAATTCACTGCGATTTATGAGTAGGGTTTAGTGTACTCCTGTGATATAATCCAATTTTGCTCAATTGGGGTCAGTTTTATGAGTCCTTTTCTCTTAGAAATGCGTGCTAATCAGGGTGTGTTTGGATGCTTGTTGCTCATAATCACATAACGATTAAAGCTAAGTAGATAATTTTGTGGTACCTTAACAACTAGTCTATTATTTCAATTCTATACATTTCGAAGATCAACATTGTAGTTATTGGCCCTCAAGATTCAAACCTATACAACATTTGTACTATTGTTGATCTCTCAAAATACAGAGATCCTTTTGGTTAACATTCTTATTTTGTTATGGAGTTTACTAACTCATCATATGATAAATCCACAATAACTTTCCCATTAATGCAACATTAACTTCTTGCATTTAGTAACTCTAGTGTTTGATCATGAGTGCTACTGCTTCAGGTTAGCAAAACTTTCTGAAGGCCAGTTAGTTGACGGAAGACTAGAATGTCTGTACCATGGGTGGCAGTTTGAAGGTGATGGAAAGTGTGTCAAAATCCCTCAGGTAGTTTTTGTTTTTGATTTTTTTTAATTTAATTTAGGTATAGACTGTTATAATTGGTAGTTTTTTCAGAGTATGATATCTAAATAAAAAAAATAAAAATTGAAGTGCAACAAACCGTCATTAATCCGCAATCACATGTTACATGCATACAGCTTCCCGCAGATGCAAAAATCCCTCGGTCAGCATGCACCAAGACATACGAGGTAAAAGACTCCCAAGGTGTCGTGTGGATATGGATGTCACACAAAACCCCACCAAATCCCACCAAAATCCCATGGTTCGAAAACTTCGCTCGACCCGGATTCCGTGATTTCTCAACCACTCACGAGCTTCCATACGATCACTCCATTCTTCTAGAAAACCTAATGGACCCTGCCCATGTCCCCATTTCACACGATCGAACCGATTGGAGCGCTAAACGCGAAGACGCCCAACCGCTTCGTTTCAAAGTAACCGAACGAACCGACCGCGGGTTCGCCGGTTGGTGGGGCCGCGAAGCGGACAATTCCACCCCAAACTTTCTAAAATTCGAGGCCCCGTGTAATCTACAAAATAACCGGGAAATTATCGATAAAGATGGCGTGACAAATTATTTCTCCGGGCTTTTCTTATGTCGGCCCACGGGGCAAGGAAAATCGATGCTTATTGTTAGATTCGGAAGCACGAAAAGATCGCCATTAGCAAATCTTTTCCCCGAATGGTATTTCCATCAAAACGCGGGTAAAGTATTTGAACAAGATATGGGATTTTTATCGTCTCAAAACGAGATTTTGATGAGAGAGAAAAAACCGACGAAGGAACTTTATATTAATTTAAGATCCTCGGATACATGGGTGGCGGAGTATAGAAAATGGATGGATAAAGCTGGGCACGGGATGCCGTATCATTTCGGTCACAGTACGATTTCGATGCCGGAAGTGGCGGCGGTGGTGGAGCATGCTCCGGCGGGGCTTGTGGCGAGTATTGCCGCTTCGTCTCCGGCGAAGGGCGGAATTGGAACAAAACATGCACCGAATCTTGCGAATAGGTATTTTCGGCATGTTGTTCATTGTAAAGAGTGTCGGAGTGTGGTGAAGGCTTTTGACGCGTGGAAGAATGGGCTGTCGGTGGTGGCTGCTGTGGCGGTGACTTTTGCGATTTTCGTGTCTGGGCGGCAGTGGAAGGCTGCTCTGTTGTTGGCAACGGCGGTTTCTGTGGCGGGAGCTTACGCATGCTCGACTCTTGTGGCGATGAATACGACCAATTTCATTAGAACTCATCGGAGACTGTAGAAATGAGAAAATTTGTTCAATTATACTTGTAATGTTGTTGTACAAAGATTAATAGCGATAGCTTCATGAAAGGGTCGGAGTAAAATTGATTGTTGGTTGATTGACAAAAGTGTGCTACATTTATGATCCCAATTTCAATATCAACAAATGGTTCTCACTATCCAAATTGTTTTCTATCACTGTTGCCTGTTTTAGGTTGTATGTACGATTACTGTAAAAGGCTTAATAGATCAACATGATGTTTTTGGCTATGTATGAATTAGTATGAAGACTCAAAAGAATGAAAATGAAGACTAATTTTGGAAGACAAATCTAACCAATGAAAACTTGTCTTAACATGGCTTATGAAGTGAAGTTTTCATAAAGTTGTTTAAATAAATGTTTATAATCAATTTTGTTTAAATTAATCGATTTAAGTTTGATAGATATATATGGATTCATTTTTTTTAATGGATTTTAGGTTCATTAAAATCAAATGTTTGCAACTTTTTTATCTCAATTTTACAATTTTGAACGTTTGACGGAAATGTACGATTTTACCATTTTTTCTAGATTATAAAAGTTATTAAGTTTGGTTTTCTGGTTTATTAAAGCCTTGTGACATAAATATTTTGTTTAACGGATAATATGCAAAACGGGTAAAATTGAAAAAAAGTTGTAAACATTTGGTTTCATTGAATCTAAAATCCATGAAAAAGTAAATCCATACATTTCTGTTTAAGTTGAGGGCTTTTACGTATTATACCTTTTATCTTCCAAATTTCTCTGCTAGCTGTCTTTTTTCTTTTTGGAAGTAGAAAAGGAGCTCAGAATTCTTTGTGGGTGAAAGATGCAAACTGACGAATAGTACAAGGAAAACATTTGTAAATATTATAAGTTCCAATCATTTTCGGAACTTTCAAAACCCTTGGCGGCATCGCATCCTCCCGCTCCCATTTGAGAGCACACACACAGTCACACAGAGACACACTAGGGGTGATCCAGTCGCAGTCGCTGCCCCTCTCGCTCTTGCCGCCGTCCTTCGTCCACCATACAGGTATCGTACTATCACACCTCCTTGATTAGTATATTTTATTATTATTATTCTGATCGCGTGGCAGAAATTGGGAGAAAACCCTTGGATCTTTCAAGGTTTTATTTCCTGGTTTTTCTGTATGTTTTTAACGGATTCGGATGTCGTTGGAGTTCTTCAAGCATCGAATTTGTCTGTTCTGTATCGATTTCTTTTGCAATTAATTATCGATAGTAGGAATCGTTCACACCCCCCTTTCACATTGAAGGTTGAAGTGGGTGTTTCATCACTCATTTACATGTGGCCGGCCACCTTTTCATTCGTAGTATGGCATATCATTGAGCAACTGGAATTCAACCCTATTTCCATTCGTATTGGCAGTATACAACTTTCATAAGTTTGGTAATTTTGATACGTTTGTGGTTAACTTCACTAATTTTCCATTTTCCTGATATCAGATACAAGTTGGAAATGGGGCAACAACTCCACCATCACCACCAGGCAGTAGATGGACTAGTGAATCTGTTTACCAAGGCCAACAACGACCTCATTATAGTCCATAATCGCCTAGAGAAAGAGTTTCGAGAAACATATCCTGATAACGTACCCCTCTTTTTTTCTTTTGAAGGATCTTGTTAATTTTTTGTTTTTAAACGGTTTGATTGTTTAATTATGTCAATCAAAATTTCAATTATTGTAGGCAAATCCCATGAAGCTTGTGTCTAGGATCAAGAAGATCCAAGAAGAATTGCCATCTCTAAAAGAGCAATGCCGTGAGTTACTCTCAGCCAAGCAGGTTAGCTGAAAAACAAATCTAGCTGAGTTTCTGGTTTATTTAGATCAGATCATGAGATATATCATTTCTGTTGATTGTGATGTAGGATTTAATTGATAAAGCAAGGACAACTATCGTTGGGAACAGAGCATCATTGCAGAGGTTGCAATCTTCCATGGGCATCCCTGTCACTAGTGATTCTGATGATCCTTCGTTTACAAATTTTAATCAGGTGATTTGATTTCTAAATTTTCTTTATTTCAAGGCATAGATACATTTCAGTTATGAACAAACTGTAAAATAGTTGTGAAATTTTTAACTATCCAGTTTACTCCTCTGTTGCAAATTGAAGAGTGCATAGTTATTTTATGACATTTTCCCTAAAAACAAAGAGGGAAATAAGTAGATTGTTATCTGTATTAAGTTTCCATGGTTGTGAGTTTTCCAAATGGTGCTTCTAGATTCTACACCATTTGCCAGTGAACAACCTATATTTATGATGGCAAGAAAGATATCCCATGACTGGCTGCAACATAGTGATGGTAAAATTTTTGGTGGATTTAGTTCTTATTTTTTTCCCCTAAATTCTCGAAACCAAAAGTTACTAGTAAAAATTATGTTTTTCAATGAAAATACTTAAAAGTCCACCTAAAATCTTCCAAACCTGTTATGCTTATGTGTGGTTTGGTCATTGGGGCTTATGCTCTATATTCATACCTTGCTACATTTCTCTCATTTATATTCTTTTGAGGATCTTGAAGTGTGTTCTCCCATGGAGTATTAGGACATTGTACTTTGAAAAAACTACCTAATAGGAAAAATGGAAGTAGGATGCTATTGTAAACAAATCAATGAAAGTACGTTGCTATTTCTTGCATTGAACCTTTTATTTACCCTTATTATATATACTTAATGTGATAAACAGGTTATTGATGAATGGGCAGTACAAGTGAGATCTAGAACAGGTAATGAAGTTAAATTCATATCTTGCTCCTTCCAATCCAAAACAAGAGCTACTGGTTTTAACTGATAAAAGTTTTTTTTTTGGTGATTGTCATGTGAAATTGCAATCTTCCCTGATATATGTTAGAAGTATTGCAGGAGATGAGGGACATGAAGGTTCTGAGGATATTAACAAGATGCTATTCTCTGCAATTGTTCAAGGTAACTAAACCACTGATCATGATTCATGAACCTGTGGTTTAGGTTGAGTCCAAATGGATGATAATTAGAAGCATTGCTTCAAGCTCTTTAACAATATGTGTTTGAGTTGTGTAAACTAAAAGACGATTACTCACCCAACAAAATTTAGAAATGATGATGCATGGGTTTGTATATAACTAGCGAGAGTTCTGAATTCTTTCTTTGAAACATTGAATGAGGATCTGTGAAGCTTGGTATATGATCAGAGTTTTGTATTTTATATTATAGATTGGATGTGAAACTGATTTTAACAAGGACAAAAGGCAAAAATAACAATGTCGGAAAAAACTTTTTCTAAAGCTTTTGTGTAATGATTTTTCAAAAACCATTTTCATAGTAAAAAAAACGAGCTTTATGTTGTTAAAAAAATGGTAGATTGAGATATTTTACCAAAAAAAATATGAAGTAAAAATGAATGAAAAAAAAACCATTACATATAGGTGATCAGTAAGGGGTAGACTAGGTTCATTTTGCCATATAGTCGTTTCGCATAAAATACCTGCGAAATTCATGTTTAATTCTAAAAAACCTTAATATTTCGCTTAATTCTTAAAAGGGAGAATTTCATATATGCCCTTTTTAAACCTTAAAATATCATATTTACCCTTCTTAATTTCTTAATATCATATTTATTCTTCATAAACCTTCAAAATAATATCGTTATGTTTGCCCAAATCCTTTTTTATGATGTTTTTAATATTTTATAATCATTTTTTATAACTTAAAATTACTATAATAATTAAAAAATTTAACGATATTATCCTTAGTTCTATAATAATGGAATGTGAACTTCTAAATTGTTGGAATGTCATCCTCTTGACAAATAAAATTATTCATCTTCAACCCTCTCTATGGAATGTATATTTTGATTGTTTAGTTTTTTTTTGTTGATAATGTTGTAGATGAATGATATTTTAGATATTACTATTGATATTTTGATGTTTAAAAAGTGCATATATGATATTTTGATATTTAAGACGGGTATATATGATATTATGATGTTTAAAAAGGACAGATATGATATTGTGAAATTTTATGAATGATAAATATGATATTTAGTAATTTTATAAAGGGTAAATATGATATTTAGAAATTAAGTTGGGTAAATATGATATTTTGATGTTTAAGAAGGGTATATATGAAATTCTCCTTTCTTAAAAAAAGCTGGTAGATTAGATTAATTAAAGCCGAAGTCTGCATACTGTACTTTGTAATTGTTTCATCCCAAAAATTAAGTTACATACAAAGTAAATTAGTTTTAAACACATCATGGAATATGTCATAATTTTATTTTAAAGATTGATAAAATATAGAGTAAATACAAAGTTATAATCAAGACTCAATATTACGTTAGACCTACCGGAATACCAACGATGAAGGGGCCCGTGGTCTATGTGACCACAAGCGTTGTCCGTGCACACCACCCATGTCATTTGTGGTTGAGCGTTTTCGTGGTCTTCCATGTTGCCTTCGACGATCGATCACGACCAATCAAACTCATTTCTTCTCTTTTAGCCGTTCAACGGTCAAAAAATTGAATTTATTAATTTTGTTTAAAAAAATATATAAACCTTACCTATATAAACACCACATTTACATAAATATTTTTACATTCGAACAATATAGTCTCTTAGAAAAACATATTTATGGATTTCTTTAAGAATTTCGATTCTAACGACGACGAGGAATTCATCTCGACGTTCGTCTATGTTGTGCAACACATACACGATAAAGAAAGTTCGTATGATAAGTGTCTTTATACCGATAACTTATTTAGGCATCATTTCCGTTTAAATAAGGTTGTGTTTTTACGTACTAGTAATGCTTGAGAGGCCTGTTACGATTATTTTAAACAAAAACTCGATGCTAGATGAAAAATGAGTTTTAGTAGCATACAAAAATGTGTGGCTACGCTTAGATATTTGGGATATGATATAGTCTTTAATGCATCCGACGAGTGTTTGAAAGTATCCGAAAGGACCGCAACTGATTATGTAGATTGGTTTTGCGCATGTGTGTAGGAGCTTTTCACAAAGAATATTTGTGTAAACCTATTGCAATTGATATTTAAAGATTATATTTGGCTTATGAAGAAAGACATGGATTTTCGAGAATGATTAGTAGCTTTGATTATATGCATGTCGCTTGGGAAAAATGTCCAAATGTGTGGTGCTATCAATTTACTCAAGGTGATATAGGTGAGCCAAGTATAATACTAGAAGTTATTGCATCTCAGGATTTGTGGATATGACATTCGTTCTTTGGAGTTGCGGGATCTAACAACAATATTAATGTTCTTTGCCAGACCCCTATTTTCAACGATATTTGGACCAGCAAAGCATCTGATATGTCGTTCATGGTGAACGGACATTCGTACAAACATGGTTACTACCTTTATGATGAGATATACCCTGATTATTTTACATTCATGAAAGCATACTCGGTTCAGTGAAGTGAAAAGACAAAATTGTTCACAAAAAAAAACCGTGAATCAACTAGGAAGGTTATTGAAAGGGTATTTTAAGTCCTCAAGCAGATATGACATGTAATGAAATACGCTACATAACTTTGGGATAAGAATAATTTTTTTTAAAAAAATGGTAAATGCATGTATTATAATGCAAAATATGTTTATTGAAAATGAAGGTAGAACGATCTGCATGTATGATCCAGACGATGTAGTTATCCCAATTGAGGAGTTTGTATCTGGTACGATTGAATTTTTACTACGAGTTATTGAAATTCATATCAATGATACATGTTTCAATCTTTGAGAAGATGTTGTGGAACATTTATACCAACAAAACATGAAAGAATATTAGTTTTTTTTTTTTTTTTTTTTTTTTTATGTTTTGAATTTTTATGTTTGTTTGTTTTCTTTTTTATGCTAGCTTTTTTTAAGTAATGTAGTTTTTTAAATTGATGTAATGTTTTCTTTTATTGAATGAAAAAATAGTTAAAAAAATTATATGGTTTTATTGTATTTTTGAATTAAATTTTTTTTTTTTAAATTGATATGTAATAAAGTGTTATAATTTTAATGGCAATGATGATACGACACCAATTATTTTATTTTAGTAATTAGTTGTGGATACTGTGGATGAACTTAAAATAAACTCTAATATAGTTATGATATTCTTTTTGAAAAATTTAAAAATTAAGCCAATTCATAACGAAGCTTAAATAATAATTAAAAAAAAAAACTATTATAAAGACAATTTACATTAACGTGCGACAAATTTGAAGGAAACTAACTTCCTTAAACTCAAACTGTTAAACATCAACAATCTTGTATTCTTCAATACTGAATAAAGAAAAAAACCTCAAGTAATTGCAGGAATGTTAATGATGGAAAACTAATCACTGGCCGGCGGCAGATGGTTGAATCCTATCGACAGAAACCCAAAACGGTCCGCAGGCTCGGGTAGCCAGCTCCGGATAACCTTCTGCAACAAGCATATCCCCCAATAGGCCCATCGGCGACGGAGAGTCGTCGGAGTTCGAAGGCGGCAGTGGGCGGAGATGAAAATTCAGATAGAAGACATGAGTGTCGCTTGACTGCTGCCGGGTTCTTAATTGCATATAATTACGATTCGGTTGTTGCACCGGGAAGACATGGCGGCAGAGGGGGCAGGTGTTTTTTATTGAGAACCATGGGAGGATACACTTACGGTGGAAGAGGTGGTGGCAGTTTGGTAGCCGGACAAGCTTATCTTGGCAGATGAAATCGTCCGTGCAGATGGCACATGTGGTGGTCGGAAGTGCTTTTAGAAGGGAACAGCGGGCGATGATTTTCGGTAAACGACGGATGAATTCGGTGGAGGCTGGCGACATATTGGTTCTGATTTATGTAATATTCCCAAGTTTACTTGGACAGAGCGCGATGATTTCTCGTGAGGCTTGAGACTTACACTTTGGAAGATGGAGAACGATTATTTATGTAGCGAAAGTTGGAGGATTAAAAAGGAAAGTAACAAAGTAGATTGATTATAGATATCATTATTCACAGATGTATAGTTGGAAAACAATTCCTAAAATATTTTCAACAACAAGAAGAAAATATTGTTATCTACCGTGTCATCAAGTATCAGTTACCTTAATTCTATATCATATTTTTAAAATCATATAGTATAATACAACACACCAAACAATTTAACTTATGGTTAACTAATAATAACCCATGAAAACTCTTTGAAAATTTTAATCACACTATTATTATCACTAATGCATCCCAATATCCCATGACTAAATTAAGGCCCACATGGAAATAATAACTAATAATAATTTTCTTATGATTTGGTAAGTTTGTCTTTGATAATCATAGGGTAAATAATAACTAAAAAAACCCATCGGATTTTTTTTTTCAAACAAAAACAATCTTTTCATGAACCACAATTGCATTATGTTGGTGATAATATCAGTGAATATGTTTGTAATACATTCTCATGACCTAAAATGAATAGTAATATCGAAGTGATATTTAATGTTGAATCCGAAAAAATGATATGTCAAATTTAAAAGACATAAAATTATATTTTTTATTATATATCAAAATTGGACCATATCAACTTAAAAAATCAAAGTATCTTTTCGTTCCTTGTTCTAACGGTTGTATGCATAGTTTTCAATAACTTTGTTTTACGATGATCATGAATCGATGCTTATGGTTTTCTGAAGACGATACTACAAAGATCATTGCAGTTTCTATTTAGACGATTTTTCTCGGTCAACTTATCTTTCAATGTGCAGACTATTATGTTATTTGGATATATAATAATTTTTTGGAGAAATTAAATATTCTCTTACCTTTTGATCCTACCAATCCTCTTACCCATTTAAATGATGTCATGTGTTATATTAGTATCCTAAAATATGATTAAATCTGATTAAATGAACATTAAATGTTACACATATCACAATTTCATTGGATAAAATGATATGTAAAAACAAAAAGTAGGAGGATATTTAATTTCTCAATTTTTTATTATCTTATGAGGTCAGCCTCATCTATTATTGAATTCCTCCCAACAACAAAGAATAAAGAAGTTTCAAGAAGTAACCCACACATTTGGTGTTTTTATGGAGCAATCAAGGTTCATTCGATGTTGATGAGGAATGAGGTGTCATCAAGCTAGTTTGGAATCAAAGCTTTACTTGCTCTTGTTGTGGTTTGAACCGTAGAAACTTAGAAAATTTGTCTTGTGATGCGTACATAGGACGGGGATGAGCATGAGAGGAAACAGGTACCGAGTCGGGGAACATGTTCCGAATACCAAATTGAGTGGAAAGTTGATACCAAACACCGAACCGAACTAACATTACAGGTACAGATACCGGGAATGGGACCGATTTTCGGTACTAGCACCGATACCGACAATATCGAATCTCGAATTTCATGATTTTAGAATACCGAGTATTGTCTCATATTAACATAAACAATGTATGGTCGGTAGTGATTTAGATTGGAAATTTTGATACTCTTGCTAACCCATATTTTAAGATAAATTCATATTGTTTCTAACTTTTAAAGTCTTTAAGGTAAATTCATATTGCTTCTAGATTATAAAGGTTTTATGATTATTGGAAATAGTGGAGGGAGACCCACCAAAGCATGAAAAATATATTCATATTAGAAGAGTGTTGGCTTTAAGGTAAATTCATATTGCTTCTAGATTATAAAGGTTTTATGATTATTGGAAGTAGTGGAGGGAGACCCACCAAAGCGAAAAATATATTCATATTAGAAGAGTGCACAACCGCATGGATAAGCACACATTAACCCAACCATTTAAGATCCAATTCTAGATTTTTCTTGAGAGGTATCGGGAAGGGCCTGAAGTGTAAATACTTTTTGTTAAATATTGTGCTGAAATTTGAAATTATATTATTCATTAATTAATAAAACTTGTCATGAAAATATTGGGTTGTCGCCATCTAATTTTGGAAGTTCAGATCGTGCTAACTATAAAGTTTTGCAAATTTATCGATTTAGCCATTGGAACATGTTATAACATGTTCTTATCGGTCTACATGGCATGCTACACAAATAAATTCTTATCATGTTCATCGACATAATTTCTCGCCATATCTTGTTCCCACTCAAACTCACATTATCACACAAGGGCTCCAAATCATCATTGTCGTTCTGGTCAATAGGTTCAAAAACAAAAGGCAGTCATAAATGGAATTCATTACGTGGATGTATATAATAAACGACGCAATGTCAAAATAATAAAGTGATGTGGTTCTCTTGATTTTATAGCACTACAATGCATGAATAATTAAAGGAAATAATAACACAACATTACATCCTAACGCCTAATATAGTATTTAAGAAATTCTTTAATAATGTTTTTAAGATTTGCAAATTTACCCGATTCATAATGAATATAAAATGATATGAAAAGCTAACAAAAATGAAGAATCTGAAAGGCAATCTTTCATCAACCAGTTAAACTCAAACATCAACAATCTTGTATTCTTCAAGAATCAATAAAGAAAAAAAAACCTCAAGATTCTTAACACGCATTTGTATTATATCCCACAAGATACCAACTAAGAAACAAAATGGATCATACTGTCAATTATCCCAACTTGAGATTTTATCTGCAACAAAATAATTAGCAATGCCCCTAAATATAATGCATTTTCTGTAACTTTCTGCAGCAACATACTTTAAAAATACTATTTTTCCAATCAACCTTCCAAGGTAAAATTAAAATCATTATTTCAACCATTTAACATACAGGGTAAACTAGTCATTGTGGGGACTCGAGTTAAACAGACAAATACACACAAACAATAATACTTTATCCAACCAAAACTCGAGAGTAAAACGATCGTTTTTGACAAGTCATAGGGATATATCCGTAAAACTCAAATTTATAGGGTAAAATGGTCTTTTGACGAACTTATGGACTCTTCAGCCTGAAATAGGTCGAGGGGCTTAATTTGACCATGGTCAAACAATATTTAAGAGTTAAGATAATTTGACCATGGTCAAACAATATTTAAGAGTTAAGACAGACGGGCCAAATTTAAACTATTTTTGAGATGGAGGGACCAAAGTAGTAAGAAATGAGAAATGGGAGGAGATGTAATACCATGTTCTTGAAACTTCTGATAGTTTCACTTAATAGTGTGAACTGTGAAGAGAAGATTGTTTTACAGATAGGTCCTTCTCCTTCCACTTCTTAGCCATCCTTTTTAGAATCACAACACTTTGCTTCTAAATTATCCTCATAAAGTAAGCCTTCTCCTATATATATATATATATATATATATATATATATATATATATATATATATATATATATATATATATATATATATATATATTCAAAACCCACCCATTGTTTATAAGAATCAGGATTTTGAGTTAAGCACCAGATAAAAATGCCAGATGGCTTCAATGGGTAGCTCCAAGATTCCTGCCAAAAAAGTGTTTGGTATGATGTATAGGAAAAGGAATGGAATGGTTTATTACATAGGAATGAGAAAATGGTGTCCGTTTTGTCTCATTGATTGAATGTAATGGACATAGGTTACATAAAATGGATGCTCAAGTAAAGATAGAGATGCAAATTGGGTCAAATATATTATATTCCATGTTCAAATTTCCATATACAGGGCCTGTGTGCCCAAATCATTCAACAGAGTTCATAGATTTGGAATCAAATGGAGTAATCCACTTTGCACGAGATGAGTGTAATGATGAAGAAGATAGATTCGAGTTTAACCTAACAGCCCCTAAAGCCAAAAAAACCAAACAATTTGAATAATGAACAATGAAAAAAATAACTCATAATCTTTTCCAATAATACCAGATGCATAATGAAAATGGCCATTCGAGGAAACCCCAGTTGAATTTTGGAAAAATCAAATAACTGAAATCTTCAAACATCATTGCAAATGGAGATAGAAGTACAATGGATTTTTTTCAACCTCCTGTTTGATTCCAAAATCAACACCAGAAAACAGATTAGGCTCAAATCATCAAACTCGAAGATAGAGATAGCGGGGCTGTACTTTGCATCCCAAGTACAGTGTATTTACAACTTACACAAACAAAAGCGGCACAGATCAAAACTTGCTAACCAATCAAATTTATCCCTAGTAACTATATAACAATCCCTTTTACATGATCTCAGCAATTGTGCTTCAACATCAATGCATCATAATCATCTTTGTTCTTGAAGAAGATTCTTCTAATTTCATCTTGCTACTGCTACTAGCATCTGAAAACCTGTCAACATCATAGATTTGGCACGAAATTCTCCTCCCCCAATTACAAATCCCACTCTTCAAATCAACCCCAAACGTCATGTCAGTTTCATTCTTACCACCGCCAATCTTAAAACTTATCTTTTTCCTTTTCTCTGGCAACTTGCTGATTTCCTTATCTGATTCGGTAGATTGCATATTCTTCTCCCATGCGGTTTCACCTTCATTTGATGCAGTAACGATCGGCAGTTCTCCCGCGTCACTGATTTTAGGGAAATCCGGTAACCATCTCGGAACGTGATTCCATTTGGTATTCTGATTGGGAAAACATGGTGAATTTGATGGAAGTGTAGGGCTTCGACGAGGCAACGGTTTTGCAAAAGGGATTTCGTAACTCCGATAGACAAACTTCATCGTGTCACGGAGAATCGATGAATCGCTGAGTATATATAATCTTCTTTTAGGATCTGAGTTTCCATGGAATCCAATGTCGGAATGAAGATCTTCCAATGCACGGACGATGTCGAATAGGTTGCACTGCGTCCGGCCGGTGGATCCAGCGGAGGTAGTAGAGTACTTCGCCAGTGATCGAATGTACCTGACGGCAACGTCCGTTAGGGTTTTGAGTGCTGAGATTTGAGCGCCTTGATATCCGACGGACTGACACATCTGTGCGACGGCGATTCTCATGACTGCCGTGTTGAAATCCGAATTTTCCAAATCACTTTTATTGGATGATCGGGATGAATCTTTGATTTTCTTCTTCTTCATTGTGTAACCAAATAAAAAAACACACACACACTAGTAACTAGTCCAGTCTGTTTTCAAGGAGAGATTTCTCTGTATTTAAGCTTATGATTGATATTCACTCTTCACGATGACCTAACCCAACCCAGAAGAAATGGAAAAGTTTAAAGTAATTTGGGCCCGATTACCTACGTGAGTGTTTGGGATAATTTTTAAAATGATTTTTTGTATTCTAAAAATTTTAAAAGTTGTTTATTAATTATAAAAATAATTTTTTGGTAAAAATAACAAGTTATGGTTTTAAAAATTATAAATTACTTTTAATGACTTTTGGTTTTTTTGGCATTTGTTTCTTCAAAAGGTAATTCTAACATATTTTAAAACTTACTTTTGAAAAATACTATAAATCAAAGTCATTTTGTTGAAAAAAACTTTTTAAGCTAAAAATCAATCACAAACATCCCCTTACTATATCCTTAAATAGGGGTGTGATCGGATAAATTTTTGGATTTTGGGTAATTCTGGTCGATAATTCAGGTTTTTCATATAACAAAATTTACCCGTTACCTGGATCGGGTAAGGGTAATTCGGGTATTACCCGATTTTTAATTTTTTCTTAAAATTTTTTAATGACACCTAAAAAAAATGTAATGAAATAAGCATATCGTGCTAAACTTTGAACATTGAGAATTTTTTACTCAATAATATTTGAGATATCAATTATTTTTTCCAAACTTTCGATCTTGGGTTGAATTCTTTATTTTTTTTTTCTCTTTTTCTTGTGGAACTTGATCATTGGTTGGGTTGTCAACTTCAATCGTCTCATCTTCTACTTCAATATAGTCATCCATTTGTGACGAATACCAACGAAGAGCGGACGAGATACGAGAGTTTTTTGACATGTGGAAAATAGAACGAACCTCAACGAGAGAAATTGGGATTTGGGAATTGGGAGGGACAGATAAAGTCATAAAGGAACATTATATGTTATATATATTTCGGGTAATCGGGTATACCCGAAACCCAAACAACTTACCCTTTACCTGACTCGAAAAAAATCCGGGTTACCCACCTACCCGAAAAAATTAACCCGATACCCAATTTACCTGATACCTGAAAAAATCGGATGAAAAATTCGGGTAACGGGTATTTTTGACAGGGCTAATCTACTAAATGGAATTGTCGGCGGAGTTGTCCATGGGCATTTGCCGCCCTTAAGTTTTTGAAATAAGATTTTGCAACCTTTTACTTTGTATAAATTTATTTTTAATCCTTCAGCTTTAAATTTTTTAAAACATCGCTTTCATCTTTACACTCTGTAGAATGTCATTTTTATCTCTTTAATTTTTAACTTTCTAAAACGTTACTTTCATCTTTTCATTTTTAAACTTTTGAGTTAAGCCCGAGTAAGATATATAATATGTTTTTCCTATAATTACTACCTCTAACCTTTTAAAATGTCATTTTAAGACAATTGGTTTTGAACTTTGTAAAATTCGTTAACTTAAAAGGAAAAAAAAAATTGTTTAATTTTATGTATGTGTCAAACATAAATTCGAGGTGATTAATGTTTCATCGTAAATTCAGTAATTCCGTTCGTTGATTAAAAAAAACCTTACTTGGTTATTTTATGTACATTTCGATATAAATTCAAGTTTGTCTACGTCTCGATGTAATTTTTTTTCTTCAGATTTTCATGCTTTTATTTTTATATACACCTCTTACTTATGAGTCATGTAGGATGAAAGTGAGTCCAAACCCAGCCCGAGTAGACCTGGACCCCGAAAACCGGTTAACTGGATTTTGTATGATCAAAAACCGGACCGGTATATATGAACCTGGTGGGTTTAGAATTGGTATATATAATCTCTCCTTCTCTCTGTCTCTCTTTCTTTCTTTCTTTCTTTCTCTCTCTCTCTCTCTCTCACACACACACACACACTCACTCACTCTCTATCTCTCTCTCTCTCTTATTATTCTTCTTCTTCATGCTTCTTGCCTTATAGATTCTACTTATCTTCCTCTTTCATTATTCATTGGTTTTGTTATTATATCATAATCTTCTAATCAGCTAAAAAAATGGTGGTAGTAATTCAATCATATACCAACACCACCAGATCTGGAAAATGATACACCTGCAAAAATCGCCACGCACACACTTGGAGATCAAATCACACGCACATACTGGCAAATCTGATGAAGTTAGGGTTTCTTGAATTTGAAAATCGAGCTTAGATAAACCTGCTACAATTCGGAAATGGAGAGAATAATGAAAAAATAGTCCTCAGGTGACTCAATCAGGAAGCAAAATTAGGGGTGCAGGGGGATATAAAGCATAAACCCGCTACAATTCGGAAAGAAGATACATTAATAGAAAACCTTGAACAATCGAATCAAAGCAAAACTTGTGCGGATGACGATTGAAAAGAGATCGATGTGGTATTTCTGGTTAAACGATAATGTGAGCGACGAAGATGACTGGTTTGAGAGGGGAGAGTGATGAGAAGAAGAGAGTCTAGGGTGTCATCGTTATTTTGTCAGAAAGGATCCCAAAAACCCTAAAAACGACTAAGGTAAATATAAGTATTTTTCCCTATTTTTTTAATACATAATCACCAAAATATAAAAATTATATATATATATATATATATATATATATATATATATATATATATATATATTAGAAAAAGGCGGGTACTCGTCGGTACCGGTTCTAGTTAACCGCCGGTTTCGGGTACCCGGTATTCGAACCGGAACCGACGAGTATCCAGCGGGTATCAGTTTTGTAAAAATGAGAATTGGAACCGGAACCGCTTAAGGTGGTTCCTAGAATTTAGGAACCAGAACCGGAACCGCCTAAGGTAGTTCCAGAACCGGCAGTTCCGAGGCGGTTCTGGTTCCAAAAGCAGGTACCCGCTTCTGTTGCTCATCCATAATATTCACGACCAAGGTCCAATGTCGGGTGGGTGCCCAAGGAGTGGTTTGCATGATAGAGTATACTTGTTGTTTGTGTGATGCATGTATGTGCCTGGTAGAGAGGTGCGTGTGGGCGAGGTCCCGTATCTCACCAATAACAAAGTATGGAGGGTGTTCCATATCTCATTAGTAGCAGAGCAGGGGCGAGGCCCGAGATAGATATGGAATGAGTGTGGGCAGGGAGGTCGTATCTCACTTACAGTAGGAGCTTGGACGGGGTTCCATGACTCACTAGTAACAGGATAGGGGTGAGGCCCAAGGCAGGCAAGGCCTTAGGATAAGAATACAACATGGTATGTTCATTTATGTGTTATATGCTATTTTGTATTATGTGGTTAGCGGGCGGGGCCCAGAGACAGGCGGGGCCTAAAAGAAACAGATATGTGTCCGAGCGAGGCTCGAAGCCAGGTGGGGCCTGGAGCGGCGGGGTTGTTGTAGCGGACAAGGCTCGAGGTAGGGGCCGTGGCCCAGTATGTGATATATGTGTTTTTACAGGGTATGTGGTAGGTTGGGGAACTCACTAAGCTTCGTGATTATGGTTTTCGGTTTTGGTTTTTGGTACTTCCGGTAGCGGAGGGAAGAGCTCGGGATGATCGCATGGCACACACCATTAATTAGACAGCCTGGGATGTTTTACTCTGATAATGAGAATATGTTTTGAATTAATACTCTGAATTTATGTTATGAATTATGATATGGATTTTATAAATATGGTTTTAGTAATGTTTATAGAAAATTTTCAGTCGTGATTTTCCAGACGTTACAACCAAGATAAAAACTTTATACCTCCAAGAGATACCAAATGCTGAAGTGGTTCTAGATCTAAGGCGCTTCACTCCTCCAATGTGATCTCTACTTCCTTCCTTCTTCTTCAAGTCACCAAAATACCCACACAAAAGCTCCAAAATGTTCTTAAGGTGGATTAGGGTTGCAAAGATGATTTTTGAGATGGAGGCCGATGAAAAGAACCACGGTTGAGAGTTAATGAAGAATAAATAGGGTCCGAACCCTAAATATTAGGGTTTAGGACTTCACCCCATACGCCCTGCGTACGCAAAACGTACACCCATCATACATGGCTCCGCCCCAACATTCAAAAAGTGGCAATATTAGCCCCTCCCAGCCACAAGTCTTACATTGTAAGGACCAAAATGTAATAAATCCACATGGAAGGATCGAAAAATGAAAGTACCTTAAAATAAGATGTTACAGTCTTAACTACATGAAGAGACCAGTGATGATTCTTGAAAATAAGACTAAGGCGTTTCATAACAAGGTAATAGAGTTGGTGAAGGTGCAATGATAGTACCAGAAGGATTCCAAATGGACATACGAACCCGAGGAGGATATGATGGAGCACTACCCCGTGGTATTTATAGCAGCGAACTTCGAGGAAGAAGTCTGATTCAAGTGGGGGAGAGTTGTAACAGCTGGATAATTGAGTTTTAAGAGAAGAATGAGGTGTTCTAGTTGTGCATCTATCAAAGGAACATCATCATCATCATATGGTGTTCGATTTGGACCATTATAAGTGGCAAAGCTTCAACCTTTATTGTTTAAATGTTTATAGATCTATATTTTTTCCTATTTTGAGGGAGAGTTGTAACAGTTGGATACTTAAGTTTGAAGAGAAGAATGAGGTGTCCTAGTTGTGCATCTATCAAGGGAACATCATCATCGTCATATTGTGCTCGTTTTGGACCCTTGTAAGTGGCAAAGCTTCAACCTTTATTATTTAAATGTTTCTAGATCTAGGTTTTGTCCTATTTTCTCCATGTCTGAGCAAACTTGAATGGAAGGAAGCCATAAAGTTGGCAACTTTATGGGTTCACGGCTCCTTTGAGTGTTATAAAGTTCAGATCTAGTAGTTGGTTGAGTTTTGAATCCTTGCATGAGAACTTTAGTGATTTTCTACATTTTGACCCAATATGAGATCTAGAAATGTATTGGACATACATGTCTATAAATTCATTGATTTTTAAGTTAATTTTGGAGTTATATGACCTTCTGAAAAGTTAGAATGCATGAGTGTAAGGTTTAGGGATGGG